ACACACACACACACAAACACTCACACACACACACACACAAGCCGAAACACATCAACAAAAAGTCCTCCACGTACATCCCACGGCGTGAGGTGCCGAGAAAGTCCGGAGATGCGTAAACTGGATCATGAGTGGCATCCACCGCCCAGTACAAGAAGAAGGGTTGTCCTGTAGCGACCTGCTTCTCAATAAAACTTGTTGCTTCCTGTTTAAAAAAACAACCCAATAACATCAAAGCGGAGACTTTTACTTTTGAAATGTAGATGTCCTTACGCCCCCAAAGGCCCAATTTAGATAATAAGGTAGGTGGTAAGCTTTCAACTCCGCGTTAGTTTTAGTAGAGGTTTTACGGCACTCGCAACTGCATAATAAGGTCATATGAGCGCCAAGGGGTGAATGTCAACAGAGAAGTCCAAACGGGGAAGCAGGCTTACTCTGCTCACCTCTCTAGCCTCAACAGCACAAAGTCTGCTTCGACTATCAAGGCACCCAGAAATAAAAGTTCACAAGAGAGTGACAAACATACAAAAGAAGTGAAGGGAAAAGACGATAGAATGGATGAGGAAAGAAAACGCAGCAGTTCCCCCTATGTTGTTCAGGCACAGTATAAGCATGAGATTGATAAATCAGCCTATTTACAATTGTACTGTGCATAAGAACATGTTAATATCCCCCCTCTGGGAATGGCCCACAGACACTGCAGTCAGTACCATTGCCCTGGTCCTGCCTGTGAGAGCAAATCCGGGCTGAGAGAGATACAACATCCCAGTAGAGAGAGATACAACATCCCAGCAGAGAGAGATACAACATCCCAGCAGAGAGAGATACAACATCCCAGCAGAGAGAGATACAACATCCCAGCAGAGAGAGATACAACATCCCAGCAGAAAGATGGAAAACTAAACACAGAATTCTCCCCACCTGAGAATCGAACTCGGGTCTCCTGCGCACTATGGAGAACAGCCTAACAATAGCTGCACAAGAGGCTGTAGTCCATACTGCATTTTAATAGACTGACTAAGAGGAAAGAAGAAAATGAAAATAATTTGGATTTTTCGCTACGCTAGATAGAATTACAAAGTTAATCTTTCACTGACGAAAAAGTACTGTAAAGACTTACAAAAATTCATTAAAAGCAGTTTCTTACATTGATGTAGATCTGAGTGAGGTTGGCTTCCCCAGTTTGCTTGTTGAAGGGGAAATCTTCATAATACCTGTTTTTAAAAAAAAAATTAAATTTATTTTTTTTTAAATTTTTAATCTTCATAAAACTTGTTAATAAAAACCAAAAAAACATCTCCATAATACCTATTTACATGAAAACAAAAAACGTTTTTATTATATCTGTTCACAAAAACACTAAAAGGGACATTCTTTTAAAAAGTGGATATTTTAACTTAAAAACTCCAGCACAATTTAGATCATTCAGGAGGCAGGCTTCTGACCCTGCCTGTCAGGGCCAACCCGGACTGAGAGGGATACAACATCCCCAACAAAAAAAGACTGAGATATTCTACAAAAGTGTCTTTTCCATTTGGGAAATGGTCGATTTTAACCTCAAGGAGGGGGGGGGGATATCCTGAAAAATGCTTTTTTGAGAAAATCAAAGGCAAACTTTTTGCCCCTTGTTCAGTTTCTTTAAAAGACGAGGAGAGTTTTTACTATAAGCAAACAAATATGCACACCAATGAAATCATATTTCTCCTATAGGTAGGGTAATGCCCACTTTTGGTGTAGGTCGAGATTTCTGGAAACCCCCGAAATCTGGGTTAGCCCGCTTGTCCTTAAAAGCTTTACTTTACTTTACTTTTATTCGCTGCTTATACCCTTTTGGTTTTATTGCTAAAAACACAAATAGAAGAAAGAAACGGACTGATATAGACAGAAAACGACTCGGAAACGTTAAAGGATTACGAGAAAGGGTTTGTCCTTAAAAGCGACCAATTAAACTCGGTTCTCCTGCAAGAGATAGCGAAGTGCTACACCATAGACCCCGGTTCTGACTAAGACAAAATGTAATACCTGTCAACAACAACAACAACAACAACAACAACAACAACAACAACAACAACAACAACAACAACAACAAAATTATAATAAAAAGCAAGAGAAAATTTTCTAAATATCTATCCACAAAAGCACCGACAGAAATCTTGAAGAAAATCTTAAAAATGCCTTGTAACAAAATCACAATAATAATCTTTCTCCTCCTTGTACATTCTTTCAGTTTTCCCCTACCTTCCAACCATATCTGCGTCTCTGAACACAGGAACGTTGGGTGTGTCTCTGTTGTTGAACGGGCCCAAGTGACAGTTGGAGGAGCCAAACCACTCGTCGAAACCGTGACGGAGCGGGTGGTAGCGAGGCTGTTGTCCCAGGTGCCTGGACGGGGGGGG